AGCAAGGTCCAGTAGCAGAGACGGAAGGTAGGATTAACCTGGTGTTAGTAAGGTCCAGTAGCAGAGATGGAAGGTAGGATTAACCTGTTGTTAGCAAGGTCCAGTAGCAGAGATGGAAGGTAGGATTAACCTGGTGTTAGTAAGGTCCAGTAGCAGAGATGGAGATAGGATTAACCCCGGTGTTAATAAGGTCCAGTAGCAGAGAAAGGAAGGTAGGATTAACCTGGTGTTAGCAAGGTCCAGTAGCAGAGATGGAAGGTAGGATTAACCTGGTGTTAGCAAGGTCCAGTAGCAGAGATGGAAGGTAGGATTAACCTGGTGTTAGCAAGGTCCAGTAGCAGAGATGGAAGGTAGGATTAACCTGGTGTTAGCAAGGTCCAGTAGCAGAGATGGAAGGTAGGATTAACCTGGTGTTAGCAAGGTCCAGTAGCAGAGATGGAGGTTAGGATTAACCTGGTGTTAGCAAGGTTCAGTAGCAGAGATGGAAGGTAGAATTAACCTGGTGTTAGCAAGGTCCAGAAGCAGAGATGGAAGGTAGGATTAACCTGGTGTTAGCAAGGTCCAGTAGCAGAGATGGAAGGTAGGATTAACCTGGTGTTAGCAAGGTTCAGTAGCAGAGATGGAAGGTAGGATTAACCTGGTGTTACCAAGGTCCAGTAGCAGAGATGGAAGGTAGGATTAACCTGGTGTTAGCAAGGTTCAGTAGCAGAGATGGATGGTAGGATTAACCTGGTATTTGCAAGATCCAGTACCAGAGATGGATGGTAGGATTAACCTGGTGTTAGCAAGGTCCAGTACCAGAGATGGATGGTAGGATTAACCTGGTGTTAGCAAGGTCCAGTAGCAGAGATGGAAGGTAGGATTAACCTGGTGTTAGCAAGGTCCAGTAGCAGAGATGGATGGTAGGATTAACCTGGTATTAGCAAGGTCCAGTACCAGAGATGGATGGTAGGATTAACCTGGTGTTAGCAAGGTCCAGTAGCAGAGATGGAAGGTAGGATTAACCTGGTATTAGCAAGGTCCAGTAGCAGAGATGGATGGTAGGATTAACCTGGTATTAGCAAGGTCCAGTAGCAGAGATGGATGGTAGGATTAACCTGGTGTTAGCAAGGTCCAGTAGCAGAGATGGAAGGTAGGATTAACCTGGTATTAGCAAGGTCCAGTAGCAGAGATGGATGGTAAAGGGTTAACCTGGTATTAGCAAGGTCCAGTAGCAGAGATGGAAGGTAGGATTAACCTGGTGTTAGCAAGGTCCAGTAGCAGAGATGGAAGGTAGGATTAACCTGGTGTTAGCAAGGTCCAGTAGCAGAGATAGAAGGTAGGATTAACCTGGTGTTAGCAAGGTCCAGTAGCAGAGATGGAAGGTAGGATTAACCTGGTGTTAGCAAGGTCCAGTAGCAGAGATGGAAGGTAGGATTAACCTGGTGTTAGCAAGGTCCAGTAGCAGAGATGGAAAGTAGGATTAACCTGGTATTAGCAAGGTCCAGTAGCAGAGATGGATGGTAGGATTAACCTGGTATTAGCAAGGTCCAGTAGCAGAGACGGAAGGTAGGATTAACCTGGTGTTAGCAAGGTCCAGTAGCAGAGATGGATGGTAGGATTAACCTGGTATTAGCAAGGTCCAGTAGCAGAGATGGATGGTAGGATTAACCTGGTGTTAGCAAGGTCCAGTAGCAGAGACGGAAGGTAGGATTAACCTGGTGTTAGTAAGGTTCAGTAGCAGAGACGGAAGGTAGGATTAACCTGGTGTTAGCAAGGTCCAGTAGCAGAGACGGAAGGTAGGATTAACCTGGTGTTAGTAAGGTTCAGTAGTAGAGACGGAAGGTAGGATTAACCTGGTGTTAGCAAGGTCCAGTAGCAGAGACGGAAGGTAGGATTAACCTGGTTTAGTAAGGTCCAGTAGTAGAGATGGAGGTAGGATTAACCTGGTGATTAGCAAGGTCCAGTAGCAGAGACGGAAGGTAGGATTAACCTGGTGTTAGTAAGGTCCAGTAGAGAGACGGAATGGTAGGATTAACCTGGTGTTAGCAAGGTCCAGTAGCAGAGATGGAAGGTAGGATTACCTGGTGTTAGCAAGGTCAGTAGTCAGAAACGGAAGGTAGGATTAACCTGGTGTTAGTAAGGTCCAGTAGCAGAGACGGAAGGTAGGATTAACCTGGTGTTAGCAAGGTCCAGTAGCAGAGACGGAAGGTAGGATTAACCTGGTGTTAGTAAGGTTCAGTAACAGAGATGGAAGGTAGGATTAACCTGGTATTAGCAAGGTCCAGTAGCACAGATGGATGGTAGGATTAACCGGTAAGAACTCTCATTTACTAACACTGCTAATGAGATGACTGGATTTGTTGAAGAGACACATGTTGCTCTACGTGAGCTATTACAGGAGCCTACGAGAACCGTTTGGGCGGTGGTGCTAGCACCGTGTGGGCGGGGGTGCTAGCACCGTGTGGAGAGGGGTGCTAGCACCGTGTGGGAGGGGGCGCTAGCACCGTGTTGGCACAGAGTGAGCAAAAAGATCATTATTGGAGGAAACAACCAGTAACCTACACTCTCCATTACCTCATACAATGACCTGCACTGAATTTCATTAACGTTCAGACAGTCAGTGACTGTACACGAGAAGCCTCACCAACATACTGGAACCACAAGCATGACCACCCGAGTCTAGTAACTTACTGCCCAGTAAGGAAAACCCTGATAAACAAGGAAAAAAGAGAAGAAGGCAATAAAAACCTTAACACAGCGGAAACCCAAACAATGCAGAAATATCCAAACTTCAAGACAACAACAAAAATATATCCCTAAGAAAAAATAAGCCCAAACTCGATCCGTAACTTGGATCAAGTCAAAATTCTCCATGATTTCACACTTTTCACTATACTAACAAGCATAGTCTCCGTTCATCTTAATACTATTGGTCAAGGAAGATTCTGCAGGACGATAGTCGACGAAGTGTTTTGCTTAAGTAATGCCCGAAAATGAAATTACAATCGTCCACATTAATTCCACTAATAGTAGAGGCAAGCACTAACTAGCAACCCAAATTAACAACCTTCATCTATAAACCTACAACAACAACCTCCAGCTAGGAACCCACAACAGCAGCAAGCCCCAGCTAGGAACCCACAACAGCAGCAACCCCCAGCTAGGAACCCACAACAGCAGCAACCCCCAGCTAGGAACCCACAACAGCAGCAACCCCCAGCTAGGAACCCACAACAGCAGCATCCCCAGCTAAGAACCCACAACAGCAGCAACCCCCAGCTAGGAACCCACAACAGCAGCAACCCCCAGCTAGGAACCCACAACAGCAGCATCCCAGCTAGAACCCACAACAGCAGCAACCCCAGCTAGGAACCCACAACAGCAGCAACCCCCAGCTAGGAACCCACAACAGCAGCATCCCCCAGCTAGGAACCCACAACAGCAGCAACCCCCAGCTAGGAACCCACAACAGCAGCACCCCCCAGCTAGGAACCCACAACAGCAGCAACCCTCAGCTAGCAACCCACAACAACACGAACAACATACGATACATCCACACATAACGAAGATGGAGACAGCGCTGAGCCGACCATTAGCCACTACTCACCCATTGCCGATTATCAACCACTGAATTGATAAGAACTTCAAGACCGTTTACTCGAAGGAACCGTGAAATACACACACACATACTCCTACAAGATAAAGCGGGACTTCAAGGAACTCACAGTTTCTTGAAATCCCGCTTTAAACACTACAAAGTCGCCTCGACTCTGATCCTTCGTAAAATTGAGAAATAGGTCCACGACACGATGACACGAGTGAATTTCCAGAAATTATCACACAAAATCCTCCTTCATCCTACTCTAGTTCCTTGTCTTCTCCAGTCTTGTCATTAATTTTGTTATAACCGAAGAAAAAGGTGAGGCGGTGAGGGTACTCTTAATGGCACTTAATTCAACAAAGGCCTCGGTTGTGATGAATGGTTTGAAAAACCGACAAGTTGAAGATTGATACACTTATGCAGCATATGGGAATCTTTATTCAGGAAACGTTTCGCCACACAGTGGCTTCATCAGTCCAAAACAAAGAGGAAGGCGTAAGGAGAGGAGGGAGTATGAGGTAATCAGTCTCTCAACCTGGAGTCGATGTTTCCTGAATAAAGATTCCCATATGCTGCATAAGTGTCTCAATCTTCAAAGGCCTCGGTAACAGACGGAATATCACCACAGATATAGAGAGGAGATGAAGCACTTCAAGCCACACACACAAACCTTCAAGTCACTAATAACGGTGAAGCAGCAGATGACTGGAAGATATCAAATATGTCACCAGTACTCAAGAAAGGTGACAGGGGGAGACACTCGACTACTGTGGTGTACAAGTTTACTGTAAATGTTTCGAAGATTATTAGACTTTGAATATTCTGAAGGTATTAAATACAGTGGACCCCCGCATAACGATTACCTCCGAATGCGACCAATTATGTAAGTGTATTTATGTAAGTGCGTTTGTACGTGTATGTTTGGGGGTCTGAAATGGACTAATCTACTTCACAATATTTCTTATGGGAACAAATTCGGTCAGTACTGGCACCTGAACATACTTCTGGAGTGAAAAAATATCGTTAACCGGGGGTCCACTATATCTGACAAAAGACTAACATTGTAACCATACTGCCCTTATGCTTTACATGTGACTATATCATTCTTATGTTTTATACATGACCATGTTATTCTTATGTCGTATATATGACCAAATCTTTATGTTGTATATATGACCATAGACTGGAATATATCTTAGGGAGATATCATTAAGGTTACTATTGCTATATGATTGATCAGAGTGGTTGGCCAGGTAGGTTGTAATGGTCATGCAGGCCAGCGGTCTGCTAGCAGCAACAGCCTGCTGGTGGGCCAGGCAACCAGTATGTAAGTTTGGTTGCCACAGTAGAGACCTCGACACAGACTTGTCAGAAATAACAGTAATCACGAATATTACAGCGGTTATCTCTGTTTCAGGTGTCAAAGATGACCATACTGGGACTGTTACTGCTGCTACACTCTGTTGTAGGCTCGCCAGGTAACTATTGCTACTACTACTACTACTACTACTACTACTACTACTACTACTACTACTACTACTACTGCTACTACTACTACTACTACTCGTAAACCATCTCCTCTGCATTCTTCTCCTTCTCCTCCATCTTCTCCACTATCTCCACCATTATCTCCACCATCTCCTCCATGCAAGACGCCCCATAATTAACTCTTCTAACTTTTCATTTTAATCTTTCAAATCATCTCATATTAAAGTTTTAGGTGTCAACAATTTAGCGCTTATTAGGTGCCAGGTGCCAGGTGCCAGGCGCCGGGTGCCAGGCGCCGGGTGCCAGGCGCCAGGTGCCAGGCGCCAGGTGCCAGGCGCCAGGCGTCAGGTGCCGGGCGCCGGGTCCCAGGCCCCGGGGTGCCGGGCGCCAGGTGCCAGCGCCAGGCGCCAGGCGTCAGGTGCAAGGCGTCAGGTGCCAGGGTCAGGTGCCAGGCGTCAGGTGCCAGGCGTCAGGTGCCAGGGCGTCAGGTGCCAGGCGTCAGGTGCCAGGCGCCGGGTGTTACGCATCAGTGTCAGCTTGTTAGTCGTATTTTCTGCCCTAATGAACTTAAAGCATTAAGTTCAGAGCATAAGAAACTATGTTATATTTAGTGTGGCAGGTGTGGAGGTTGTGGAGGTGGAGTGTGACAGGTGTGGAGGGTTGTGGAGGTGGAGTGTGGCAGGTGTGGAGGTTGTGGAGGTGGATTTGTGGCGGTGTGGAGGTTGTGGAGGTGGAGTGTGGCAGGTGTGGAGGTTGTGGAGGTGGAGTGTGGCAGGTGTGGAGGTTGTGGAGGTGGAGTGTGGCAGGTGTGGAGGTTGTGGAGGTGGAGTGTGGCAGGTGTGGAGGTTGTGGAGGTGGATTTGTGGCAGGTGTGGAGGTTGTGGAGGTGGAGTGTGGCAGGTGTGGAGGTTGTGGAGGGTGGAGTGTGGCAGGTGTGGACGTTGTGGAGGTGGAGTGTGGCAGGTGTGTGGAGGTTGTGGAGGTGGAGTGTGGCAGGTGTGTGGAGGTTGTGGAGGTGGAAGTGTGGCAGGTGTGGAGGTTGTGGAGGTGGGGTGTGGCAGGTGTGGAGGTTGTGGAGGTGGAGTGTGGCAGGTGTGGAGGTTGTGGGGTGGAGTGTGGCAGGTGTGGAGGTTGTGGAGGTGGAGTGTGGCAGGTGTGGAGGTTGTGGAGGTGGAGTGTGGCAGGTGTGGAGGTTGTGGAGGTGGAGTGTGGCAGGTGTGGAGGTTGTGGAGGTGGAGTGTGGCAGGTGTGGAGGTTGTGGAGGTGGAGTGTGGCAGGTGTGGAGGTGTGGAGGTGGAGTGTGGCAGGTGTGGAGGTTGTGGAGGTGGAGTGTGGCAGGTGTGGAGGTTGTGGAGGTGGAGTGTGGCAGGTGTGGAGGTTGTGGAGGTGGAGTGTGGCAGGTGTGGAGGTTGTGGAGGTGGAAGTGTGGCAGGTGTGGAGGTGTGGAGGTGGAGTGTGGCAGGTGTGGAGGTTGTGGAGGTGGAGTGTGGCAGGTGTGGAGGTTGTGGAATGGGAATTTTCTAGTTTCAATCAGGAGTAACAGTTCTTGTTCCAGTGGAAGTAACTGCTAGTTCTTGTTCCAGTGGAAGTAACTGCTAGTTCTTGTTCCAGTGGAAGTAACTGCTAGTTCTTGTTCCAGTGGAAGTAACTGCTAGTTCTTGTTCCAGTGGAAGTAACTGCTAGTTCTTGTTCCAGTGGAAGTAACTGCTAGTTCTTGTTCCAGTGGAAGTAACTGCTAGTTCTTGTTCCAGTGGAAGTAACTGCTAGTTCTTGTTGCAGTGGAAGTAACTGCTAGTTCGTGTTCCAGTGGTAGTAACTGCTAGTTCTTGTTCCAGTGGAAGTAACTGCTAGTTCTTGTTCCAGTGGAAGTAACTGCTAGTTCTTGTTCCAGTGGAAAGTAACTGCTAGTTCTTGTTCCAGTGGAAGTAACTGCTAGTTCTTGTTGCAGTGGAAGTAACTGCTAGTTCTTGTTGCAGTGGAACTGCTAGTTCTTGTTCCAGTGGAACTGCTAGTTCTTGTTCCAGTGGAAGTAACTGCTAGCTCTTGTTCCAGTGGAACTGCTAGTTCTTGTTCCAGTGGAAGTAACTGCTAGCTCTTGTTCCAGTGGAAGTAACTGCTAGTTCTTGTTCCAGTGGAAGTAACTGCTAGTTCTTGTTCCAGTGGAAGTAACTGCTAGTTCTTGTTCCAGTGGAAGTAACTGCTAGTTCTTGTTCCAGTGGAAGTAATTGCTAGTTCTTGTTCCAGTGGAAGTAATTGCTAGTTCTTGTTCCAGTGGAACTGCTAGTTCGTGTTCCAGTGGAACTGCTAGTTCTTGCTCCAGTGGAAGTAACTGCTAGTTCTTGTTCCAGTGGAACTGCTAGTTCTTGTTCCAGTGGAAGTAACTGCTAGTTCGTGTTCCAGTGGAAGTAACTGCTAGTTCGTGTTCCAGTGGAAGTAACTGCTAGTTCGTGTTCCAGTGGAAATAACTGCTAGTTCGTGTTCCAGTGGAAATAACTGCTAGTTCGTGTTCCAGTGGAAGTAACTGCTAGTTCGTGTTCCAGTGGAAGTAACTGCTAGTTCTTTTTCCAGTGGAAGTAACTGCTAGTTCTTTTTCCAGTGGAAGTAACTGCTAGTTCTTGTTCCAGTGGAAGTAACTGCTAGTTCGTGTTCCAGTGGAAGTAACTGCTAGTTCGTGTTCCAGTGGAAGTAACTGTTAGTTCGTGTTCCAGTGGAAGTAACTGCTAGTTGGTGTTCCAGTGGAAGTTACTGCTAGTTGGTGTTCCAGTGGAAGTAACTGCTAGTTCGTGTTCCAGTGGTAGTAACTGCTAGTTCTTGTTCCAGTGGAAGTAACTGCTAGTTCTTGTTCCAGTGGAAGTAACTGCTAGTTCGTGTTCCAGTGGAAGTAACTGCTAGCTCTTGTTCCAGTGGAAGTAACTGCTAGTTCGTGTTCCAGTGGAAGTAACTGTTAGTTCTTGTACCAGTGGAAGTAACTGCTAGTTCTTGTTCCAGTGGAAGTAACTGCTAGTTCTTGTTCCAGTGGAAGTAACTACTAGTTCGTGTTCCAGTGGAAGTAACTGCTAGCTCGTGTTCCAGTGGAAGTAACTGCTAGTTCTTATTCCAGTGGAAGTAACTGCTAGTTCGTGTTCCAGTGGAAGTAACTGCTAGTTCGTGTTCCAGTGGAAGTAACTGCTAGTTCGTGTTCCAGTGGAACTGCTAGTTCTTGTTCCAGTGGAAGTAACTGCTAGCTCTTGTTCCAGTGGAAGTAACTGCTAGTTCTTGTTCCAGTGGAAGTAACTGCTAGTTCTTGTTCCAGTGGAAGTAACTGCTAGTTCGTGTTCCAGTGGAACTGCTAGTTCTTGTTCCAGTGGAAGTAACTGCTAGTTCTTGTTCCAGTGGAAGTAACTGCTAGTTCTTGTTCCAGTGGAAGTAACTGCTAGTTTTTGTTCCAGTGGAAGTAACTGCTAGTTCTTGTTCCAGTGGAAGTAACTGCTAGTTCTTGTTCCAGTGGAAGTAACTGCTAGTTCGTGTTCCAGTGGAAGTAACTGCTAGTTCGTGTTCCAGTGGAAGTAACTGCTAGTTCTTGTTCCAGTGGAAGTAACTGCTAGTTCGTGTTCCAGTGGAAGTAACTGCTAGTTCTTGTTCCAATGGAAGTAACTGCTAGTTCTTGTTCCAGTGGAAGTAACTGCTAGTTCGCGTTCCAGTGGAAGTAACTGCTAGTTCGCGTTCCAGTGGAAGTAACTGCTAGTTCGTGTTCCAGTGGTAGTAACTGCTAGTTCTTGTTCCAGTGAAAGTAACTGCTAGTTCTTGTTCCAGTGGAAGTAACTGTTAGTTCGTGTTCCAGTGGAAGTAACTGCTAGTTCGTGTTCCAGTGGAAGTAACTGCTAGTTCGTGTTCCAGTGGAAGTAACTGCTAGTTCGTGTTCCAGTGGAAGTAACTGCTAGTTCGTGTTCCAGTGGAAGTAACTGCTAGCTCATGTTCCAGTGGATGTAACTGCTAGTTCTTGTTCCAGTGAAACTGCTAGTTCTTGTTCCAGTGGAAGTAACTGCTAGTTCGTGTTCTTGCCGCAGACGTGGACGAGCTGGAGGGAGAAGCAGACTTCCGGTCAGTACGTCTCCACTGGAAGTACTCAGCAGACGTACACCAGCTGCGTCACTTCGTGGTGGCCTACTGTGAGGATCAACCCTGGGGCAGGTACCGCTGCAAGACGCAGGTGAGCCAGCAGGAACCTTCCCAGGGTGTTGTTATACCAGGTACAAACACAGGCCATTACTGTAATACACCAGGTACGAACGTACGTTAGGTTAGATAAGATTCGTCAGGAAATAGGACAAGTATTTCCTGACGAGGGTCTTAGTCATATAATAACCCACAGCTGGAGCTTCTGGTCATCTGACCGAGGCCTTCCGCTGGCTTACCCCTTTATAAATTAGGGTTATAAGTTAGTATACATTGTGTAGCCACTGGACGTCCACTTGACACACCTGTATCCGGCAGATACTGGAGGAACGAGCTGGCAGGAAGCTGGGAGGATCACCTGAGAAGGAACACAGGTACGAGGTGGTGGTCAGGGGGCTGAGAATGGCTACTAACTATACACTGGAGGTCACGCCCGTGCTTGACACGCCCACGCCCACCCACCTGGGCCAGGAGCTAGCCATCAGAACCAAGGGATGTGAGTACATCTTCAAAATACGTCCACTAGACTTAATTAATCCCAAAACTGGTAAATGGAATAATTTTTTATGGCCCGGCTCCACTATACAGATTTTTTCTAAATATAATTGAAAACGTTGAATAGATTTTTGTAAATAAAGTTAAAAAAAAGTACATTAAAAAATGAATAGATTTTTGTAAATAAAATTGAAAAAGTGCGTTCAAAACTGAATAATTTTTGCCAATACAACACAAAGGAGCATTCAAAACTGAACAATACGCCAAAAAAAAAAAAAAAAAAATAGCACATAACATAAATTTGGGCGCATCTCCCCCCCCCAGTTGAATTTACAAACAAACACTGCACAGAACACCGTCACGAGACAGTATAGAGAGGTTAACGAACTCGTCAGGTGTTGTTATAGAGACGTTAACGAACTCGTCAGGTGTTGTTATAGAGAAGTTAACGAACTCGTCAGGTGTTGTTTATAGAGAAGTTACGAACTCGTCAGGTGTTGTTATAGAGAAGTTAACGAACTCGTCAGGTGTTGTTATAGAGAAGTTAACGAACTCGTCAGGTGTTGTTATAGAGAAGTTAACGAACTCGTCAGGTGTTGTTATAGAGAAGTTAACGAACTCGTCAGGTGTTGTTATAGAGAAGTTAACGAACTCGTCAGGTGTTGTTATAGAGAAGTTAACGAACTCGTCAGTGTTTGTTATAGAGAAGTTAACGAACTCGTCAGGTGTTGTTATAGAGAAGTTAACGAACTCGTCAGGTGTTGTTATAGAGAAGTTAACGAACTCGTCAGGTGTTGTTATAGAGAGGTTAACGAACTCATCAGGTGTTGTTATAGAGACGTTAACGAACTCGTCAGGTGTTGTTATAGAGACGTTAACGAACTCATCAGGTGTTGTTATAGAGAAGTTAACGAACTCGTCAGGTGTTGTTATAGAGAGGTTAACGAACTCATCAGGTGTTGTTATAGAGACGTTAACGAACTCGTCAGGTGTTGTTATAGAGAAGTTAACGAACTCGTCAGGTGTTGTTATAGAGAGGTTAACGAACTCATCAGGTGTTGTTATAGAGACGTTACGAACTCGTCAGGTGTTGTTATAGAGAAGTTAACGAACTCGTCAGGTGTTGTTATAGAGAGGTTAACGAACTCATCAGGTGTTGTTATAGAGACGTTAACGAACTCGTCAGGTGTTGTTATAGAGAAGTTAACGAACTCGTCAGGTGTTGTTATAGAGACGTTAACGAACTCGTCAGGTGTTGTTATAGAGAGGTTAACGAACTCGTCAGGTGTTGTTATAGAGACGTTAACGAACTCGTCAGGTGTTGTTATAGAGAAGTTAACGAACTCGTCAGGTGTTATAGAGACGTTAACGAACTCGTCAGGTGTTGTTATAGAGAAGTTAACGAACTCCTCAGGTGTTGTTATAGAGACGTTAACGAACTCGTCAGGTGTTATAGAGACGTTAACGAACTCGTCAGGTGTTGTTATAGAGAAGTTAACGAACTCATCAGGTGTTGCTATAGAGACGTTAACGAAGTCGTCAGGTGTTGTTATAGAGAAGTTAACGAACTCGTCAGGTGTTGTTATAGAGAAGTTAACGAACTCGTCAGGTGTTATAGAGAAGTTAACGAACTCGTCAGGTGTTATAGAGACGTTAACGAACTCGTCAGGTGTTGTTATAGAGAAGTTAACGAACTCGTCAGGTGTTGTTATATAGACGTTAACGAACTCATCAGGTGTTATAGAGACGTTAACGAACTCGTCAGGTGTTGTTATAGAGAAGTTAACGAACTCGTCAGGTGTTGTTATAGAGACGTTAACGAACTCGTCAGGTGTTGTTATAGAGAAGTTAACGAACTCGTCAGGTGTTGTTATAGAGACGTTAACGAACTCGTCAGGTGTTGTTATAGAGAAAGTTTAACGAACTCGTCAGGTGTTGTTATAGAGAAGTTAACGAACTCGTCAGTGTTGTTATAGAGACGTTAACGAACTCGTCAGGTGTTGTTATAGAGAAGTTAACGAACTCGTCAGGTGTTGTTATAGAGAAGTTAACGAACTCCTCAGGTGTTGTTATAGAGACGTTAACGAACTCGTCAGGTGTTGTTATAGAGAAGTTAACGAACTCGTCAGGTGTTGTTATAGAGAAGTTAACGAACTCGTCAGGTGTTGTTATAGAGAGGTTAACGAACTCATCAGGTGTTGTTATAGAGAAGTTAACGAACTCGTCAGGTGTTGTTATAGAGAAGTTAACGAACTCGTCAGGTGTTGTTATAGAGAAGTTAACGAACTCGTCAGGTGTTGTTATAGAGAAGTTAACGAACTCGTCAGGTGTTGTTATAGAGAAGTTAACGAACTCGTCAGGTGTTGTTATAGAGAAGTTAACGAACTCGTCAGGTGTTGTTATAGAGAAGTTAACGAACTCGTCAGGTGTTGTTATAGAGAAGTTAACGAACTCGTCAGGTGTTGTATAGGAGAAGTTAACGAACTCCTCAGGTGTTGTTATAGAGACGTTAACGAACTCGTCAGGTGTTGTTATAGAGACGTTAACGAACTCGTCAGGTGTTGTTATAGAGACGTTAACGAACTCGTCAGTGTTGTTATAGAGATGTTAACGAACTCGTCAGGTGTTGTTATAGAGACGTTAACGAACTCGTCAGGTGTTGTTATAGAGACGTTAACGAACTCGTCAGGTGTTGTTATAGAGACGTTAACGAACTCGTCAGGTGTTGTTATAGAGAAGTTAACGAACTCCTCAGGTGTTGTTATAGAGACGTTAACGAACTCGTCAGGTGTTGTTATAGAGAAGTTAACGAACTCGTCAGGTGTTGTTATAGAGAAGTTAACGAACTCCTCAGGTGTTGTTATAGAGACGTTAACGAACTCCTCAGGTGTTGTTATAGAGACGTTAACGAAACTCGTCAGGTGTTGTTATAGAGAAGTTAACGAACTCGTCAGGTGTTGTTTATAGGAAGTTAACGAACTCGTCAGGTGTTGTTATAGAGAAGTTAACGAACTCCTCAGGTGTTGTTATAGAGACGTTAACGAACTCGTCAGGTGTGTTATAGAGAAGTTAACGAACTCGTCAGGTGTTGTTATAGAGAAGTTAACGAACTCCTCAGGTGTTGTTATAGAACGTTAACGAACTCGTCAGGTGTTGTTTTAGAGAAGTTAACGAACTCGTCAGGTGTTGTTATAGAGAAGTTAACGAATCCTCAGGTGTTGTTATAGAGACTTAACGAACTCGTCAGGTGTTGTTATAGAGAAGTTAACGAACTCGTCAGGTGTTGTTATAGAGAAGTTAACGAACTCCTCAGGTGTTGTTATAGAGACGTTAACGAACTCGTCAGGGTGTTGTTATAGAGAAGTTAACGAACTCGTCAGGTGTTGTTATAGAGAAGTTAACGAACTCCTCAGGTGTTGTTATAGAGACGTTAACGAACTCGTCAGGTGTTGTTATAGAGAAGTTAACGAACTCGTCAGGTGTTGTTATAGAGAAGTTAACGAACTCCTCAGGTGTTGTTATAGAGACGTTAACGAACTCGTCATGTGTTGTTATAGAGAAGTTAACGAACTCGTCAGGTGTTGCTCCAAAATTGCCTCATCAAAGTGCCAGATTTATTCATTTTAACTCAGATTTATTCACATTAATTTGCAGATTTATTCGCATTAACTCAGATTTATTTACTTTAAATTTTGTTTACATTATTTCGCAAATTTATTTACATAAAGTTTTATTTGTTTACATTAACTCAGATTTATTCGCATTAGGTTTAATTTATTCATATTCATTCGCAGATTTATTCACATTAACTTTTATTTATTCAAAGTTACTCAGATTTATTTACATTAACTCGCAGATTTATTCACATTAGCAGATTTATTCACCTTAACTCAGAGATTTATTCACTTTAACTCACAGATTTATTCACGTTAACTTACAGATTTATTCACATTAACTCACAGATTTATTCACATTAACTCACAGATTTATTCACATTAACTTACAGATTTATTCACATTAACTCACAGATTTATTCACATTAACTTACAGATTTATTCACATTAACTCACAGATTTATTCACATTAACTAACAGATTTATTCACATTAACTCACAGATTTATTCACATTAACTTACAGATTTATTCACATTAACTCAGATTTCACATTAACTTAGATTTATTCACATTAACTCACAGATTTATTCATATTAACTAACAGATTTATTCACATTAACTCACAGATTTATTCACATTAATGCACAGATTTATTCACATTAACTTACATATTTATTCACATTAACAAATTTATTCACATAACTAACAGATTTATTCACATTAACTCAAAGATTTATTCACATTAACTCACAGATTTATTCGCATTAACTTACAGATTTATTCACATTAACAGATTTTTTTCACCCTAATTTACATATATTTCTTTCGATCACTGAAAAGCGGGAACTAACTTTTTTCCACTTCATAGGATGATTAAAATCTCTGAAACGAATGGGCACTCTCGTCCTGGGAAAAAAAAACTGTTAGAATAATGGCCTAATTTATTAAATCTCATCCTTTAAATATGTGAGGTACCGGTCGAAACTATGCTGCTAACTGGAGGTCATATTTAAGAGACGTTTCGGGCCTGCTGGACCATTAGTAAGCATGACTCGAGTATATTGGAGGGGCCCTGGTTATACTGCTGTACAGGAGGGGCCCCGGTTATACTGCTGTACAGGAGGGGCCCCGGTTATACTGCTATAAGGAGGGGCCCCGGTTATACTGCTGTACAGGAGGGGCCCTGTTATACTGCTGTACAGGAGGGGCCCCGGTTATACTGCTGTACAGGAGGGGCCCCGGTTATACTGCTGTACAGGAGGGGCCCCGGTTATACTGCTGTACAGGAGGGGCCCCGGTTATACTGCTGTACAGGAGGGGCCCCGGTTATACTGCTGTACAGGAGGGGCCCCGGTTATACTGCTGTACAGGAGGGGCCCCGGTTATACTGCTGTACAGGAGGGGCCCCGGTTATACTGCTATACAGGAGGGGCCCCGGTTATACTGCTGTACAGGAGGGGCCCCTGTTATACTGCTGTACAGGAGGGGCCCCGGTTATACTGCTGTACAGGAGGGGCCCCGGTTATACTGCTATACATGGAGGGGCCCCGGTTATACTGCTGTACAGGAGGGGCCCCCGGTTATACTGCTGTACAGGAGGGGCCCCGGTTACTGCTGTACAGGAGGGGCCCCGGTTATACTGCTGTACAGAGGGGCCCTGGTTATACTGCTGTACAGGAGGGGCCCTGGTTATACTGCTGTACAGGAGGGGCCCTGGTTATACTGCTGTACAGGAGGGGCCCCGGTTATACTGCTGTACAGGAGGGGCCCTGGTTATACTGCTGTACAGGAGGGGCCCCGGTTATACTGCTGTACAGGAGGGGCCCCGGTTATACTGCTATACAGGAGGGGCCCCGGTTATACTGCTGTACAGGAGGGGCCCTGGTTATACTGCTGTACAGGAGGGGCCCCGGTTATACTGCTGTACAGGAGGGGCCCCGGTTTATACTGCTAACAGGAGGGGCCCTGGTTATACTGCTGTACAGGAGGGGCCCCAGTTATACTGCTGTACAGGAGGGGCCCTGGTTATACTGCTGTACAGGAGGGGCCCCGGTTATACTGCTGTACAGGAGGGGCCCCGGTTATACTGCTGTACAGAAGAGCCCCGGTTATACTGCTGTACAGGAGGGGCCCCGGTTATACTGCTGTACAGGAGGGGCCCTGGTTATACTGCTGTACAGGAGGGGCCCCGGTTTACTGCTGTACAGGAGGAGCCCCGGTTATACTGCTATACAGGAGGGGCCCCGGTTATACTGCTGTACAGGAGGGGCCCTGGTTATACTGCTGTACAGGAGGGGCCCCGGTTATACTGCTGTACAGGAGGGGCCCCGGTTATACTGCTATACAGGAGGGGCCCTGGTTATACTGCTGTACAGGAGGGGCCCCGGTTTTACTGCTGTACAGGAGGGCCCTGGTTATACTGCTGTACAGGAGGGGCCCCGGTTTATACTGCTGTACAGGAGGGGCCCGTTATACTGCTGTACAGGAGAGCCCCGGTTATACTGCTGTACAGGAGGGGCCCCGGTTATACTGCTGTACAGGAGGGGCCCCGGTTATACTGCTGTACAGGAGGGGCCCCGGTTATACTGCTATACAGGAGGGGCCCCGGTTATACTGCTATACAGGAGGGGCCCTGGTTATACTGCTGTACAGGAGGGGCCCCGGTTATACTGCTGTACAGGAGGGGCCCCTGTTATACTGCTGTACAGGAGGGGCCCCGGTTATACTGCTGTACAGGAGGGGCCCCGGTTATACTGCTGTACAGGAGGGGCCCCGGTTATACTGCTGTACAGGAGGGGCCCCGGTTATACTGCTGTACAGGAGGGGCCCCGGTTATACAGCAGGTGAGCTACTGCTGTACAGGAGGGGCCCCGGTTATACTGCTGTACAGGAGGGGCCCCGGTTATACAGCAGGTGAGCTACGCGGCTACTGCTGTACAGGAGGGGCCCCACTTATACAGCAGGTTAGGTTCTGGGCTACTGATGTAAAGTGAACCATAACCCTTTTCATACATGAAGTGAGCAAAAGAGCTAGGCCTAAAAATGCATATATAGTACACACATTACTCAAAATATTTTCATTCTTAGCTTATAGTGAGTAGTGAATATCTCAATTGTAGGAAATCTGAGTAAATGACGAATGGGTGTAATTATAAACTGCTGTATTAGTGAAACGCCGTAAAGTGAAGCACTGTAAAACGGGGTCTTCCTGTACTATAAATGGTATCCAATACCATGAAGCTGCTTAGAGACATATAAGAACTGGGCCATGCTAGGCAGGTCCAAGTTACATACTGGCTCAAGCCAGTCAGGTCTAACTCACGTCCACCCATAAGAACTATGAATCTTTATCGACGATACGTTTCGCTTGTAGGTTTCTCCAGTCAAATGCAGAGATTCTGATTCGCCTTTATATTCGACTGATGGCCATGCTAGGCAGGTCCAAGTTACATACTGGCTCAAGCCAGTCAGGTCTAATTCACGTCCACCCATAAGAACTATGAATCTTTATCGACGATACGTTTCGCTTGTAGATTTCTCCAGTCAAATGCAGAGATTCTGATTCGCCTTTATATTCGACTGATGGCGCCTGCAGCGCCGGCAAAACGAATCATCAATAAAGATTCCCAGTGTTGCAAATGAATCTCACTTATCAACTGACGACTCTGTTAGTGGGATGCATTGTAAAGGACCTGCCGAGTATGGGCCAACAGGCCTACTGCAGTGATCCTCCTTTCTTATGTTCTTATCATGACAGTACCACCCGAAGCGTCGTCGTCTTCACTTCTACTTTGTAGGTTTATTGTTAATTGTTCCTGCCACAGTGATGCGAGTTTTATTAAGAACATAAGAACATAAGAATCGAGCAACACTGCAGAAGGCCTACTGGCTCATATAAGGCAGGTCTTTAGAGGTACAACCTAAGCTATTCCGTACGTAACATGAAGAGCAACACATGTCACACAGTGTTCGACACGTCACACAATGTTCAACACACATCACAATGTACAACACATGCCACAGAGTGTTCAAACTCTCGTTGAACGCTGCAATTATCAACACACAACGCAGGGAGTAATTCTGAGTGTTGTTGACAGTCTCGGCGCGAGCAACACAGTGTTTGGCCAACTCCAGCGTTGTTGAGGTCGAGACCGGACCCTACTTTGGAGGCAAGGTGGGTCACCCTGGTTTTTCTCACCTGGTAGGTCACCCAGGTTCTGTGACCTGGTTCATCACAACTGTGGATGACGATACTTAGGGTAAGAGAGAGAGCGAGAGAGAGAGAGAGAGGAGAGAGAGAGAGAGAGAGAGAGAGAGAGAGAGAGAGAGAGAGAGAGAGAGAGAGAGAGAGAGATGTGGCTGCGGATGTCGTCCAGACTAGTGTAATCGACATCTAACTTTGTACGACCTAGTTTAGAAGTGTTGAGGCTTATTTCACCTTTCAGCAGAAGTGGAGAGGACCGTCTCACCTATCCAGGAGGAGTGGAGAGGCCTGTTTCACCTACCCAGGAGTGGAGAGGTCTGTCTCACCTACCCAGGAATGGAGAGGTCTGTCTCACCTACCCAGGAGTGGAGAGGCCTGTCTCACCTACCCAGGAGTGGAGAGGCCTGTCTCACCTACCTAGGAGTGGATAGGTCTGTCCCACCTACCCAGGAGTGGAGAGACCTGTCTCACCTACCCAGGAGTGGAGAGGTCTGTCTCACCTACCCAGGAGTGGAGAGGTCTGTCCCACCTACCCAGGAGTGGAGAGACCTGTCTCACCTACTCAGGAGTGAAGAGGTCTGTCTCACCTACCCAGGAGTGGAGAAGTCTGTCCCACCTACTCAGGAGTGGAGAGGCCTGTCTCACCTACTCAGGAGTGGAGAGGTCTGTCCCACCTACCCAGGAGTGGAGAGGCCTGTCTCACCTACCCAGGAGTGGAGAGGCCTGTCTCACCTACTCAGGAGTGAAGAGGTCTGTCTCACCTACCCAGGAGTGGAGAGGCCTGTCTCACCTACCCAGGAGTGGATAGGTCTGTCTCACCTACCCAGGAGTGGAGAGGTCTGTCTCACCTACTCAGGAGTAGATAGGTCTGTCTCACCTACTCAGGAGTGGAGAGGCCTGTCTCACTTACTCAGGAGTGGAGAGGCCTGTCTCACCTACTCAGGAGTGGAGAGGTCTGTCTCACTTACCCAGGAGTAGATAGGTCTGTCTCACCTACTCAGGAGTGGAGAGGCCTGTCTCACTTACCCAGGAGTGGAGAGGCCTGTCTCACTTACCCAGGAGTGGAGAGGCCTGTCTCACTTACCCAGGAGTGGAGAGGCCTGTCTCACCTACTCAGGAGTGGAGAGGCCTGTCTCACTTACCCAGGAGTGGTATCTCCCACTCTCAACACTCATATTGCATCTACATCCCTCTCAATTAATCGTCACATCAGTCAGGGGTAAAATCGCTACACCAACATACAAAAAAAATTCAGCCCAGCTGGGAGTCACGTTCTATAAGCATATATTAAGAAAATATGATAGGCGTGAAAAAATAGGTCACTCCAAAAGGAAAAAAAATGCGAAAGTCGAAAGAACTCAGGAAAAAAAATCCCATTTCCCTCTGATTTTAAAAGCAGAGATACTGATGGTGGATTATCAAAAATTTCCTGACTTATTCCCTATATGAATTAAAAATATATATTGCATTTGATGACTGGGATTCAGCTGAGGACATCTCTTCTACAACTGTCTCAGCTGCGATGCTTAAATACCAGCCAAGAGCTAATACTTTTCAGTTATTAACTTTCATTGTCAACACTGTCATGGAGGAGTGGAATATGTCATATATCATATAATTTCGTTACATTATACAGGATCTTTAATAGAACACCTGTGTCGTGTGAAACACCCATTTGGTGTGGAACACCTGTGTGGTGTGGAACACCTGTGTGGTGTGGAACACTCGCGTGGTGTGGAACACACACCTGTGTCATTAAAAGGAGTTCACAAATCATTCGCCATAACAGAATAGAAATACCCAAATGTTGAACAAGAGTCTCACACGGAAGCGCAACTTAGCATCAGAACTTTGAAGATTTAATGAAATCATCAGTTCGAGGCTGCCGCTGGTGGCAGCTCCTTCGTAACATCACAACAGAGACCAGTACGTAAATTCTGCCACTTTTTACACAATATGGAAAGCCCCTCCACGTAATTATTGAAAGCTTGACTCTGGTTCATGAGGGAAGGTGCCTATGAGGTACAATGATCCTGGCATCATAAGAATATAAGGAGGGACACTGCAGCAGGCCTACTGGCCCATATTTGGCAGGTCCTAGTCGAACCCAAACCCACTAAAAATATATGTACGCTCAATCTATTTATTATCTGTGTTACCCATGAAATAATTTTTGATAACCCTGTTAACTCATGTGCAAGTCCCACTCAAATCAAATCCCTCTCACTCGTGTATTTATCTAACCTATCTTGGCCAAGACATGACTTGTAAATTTCTCTGAAGACATGACACACATTACTGTTATTACTAGCCTCGTAAATTATGTTTGCTATGTATATGTGTGTGTGTGTGTGTGTGTGTAGAGAGAGAGAGAGAGAGAGAGAGAGAGAGAGAGAGAGAGAGAGAGAGAGAGAGAGAGAGAGAGAGAGAGAGAGAGAGAGAGGCCACTCTGAGAGTGTTCTTCAACGATTTATTTTAACCTGTCATAATCGCTCTACTCACCATGTTCCCGTTGACTAATTTCATTATTTATGTCAACAGTCCATCGTCTGTAGAAGAATGTGGCAGGAAACACGGCTTTCGTCCCCACTATCATACCATCAAAAAAAAAAAAAAAAGAAAAGAAATCAGCTCCCCACACACTGCGGGTGTTCCCACAGTATAAACAAACACTAACTGTCTTTCCTGCCTTCCATCAGATCTCCGTGGAAGGCACCGAAGAAGCAGAGTGCCGAACGGAAGGTGTGAGGGAAAGCCCCAAGACCACCTACCTCCTCAAAATCGACCACGACCGCTGCGGGAGCGAAGTGCAGAACAACTCTGTCATGACGTTCATCCTGGTGCAGGAGAACCTACCGATTCTCACCCACTCCACCAGGAGGTTCCTGGTCATGTGTAGTTATATACCAGAGACCTTCACTGTCAGGGCTGGGTGAGTCCTGTGACTTACTCTCTGTACGTGTGTTAGAAACACTATCCTCACCATGTGTAACATCTGGGTATCTTTGTTGTAGATGTTTCGCCATCCAGGGAACATAATTGGAAGACAGCAGAACTATATATGAGTCAGTCTTCATGCTTGTGCTCCAGAGTCTTCAGGACTACAGTCCTCTTCACCAACTCTGAGGGAATGATCACTTCATCGTTTGTATATGTCTTGGAATTTGTATTGATAAAGCCAATGGAGGGCAAAACGCCTACAATAAAGGTGCCCAAATGTTGTACATGTATACCATACATGTATAAGTGTATACCATATATGTATGCCATACATGTATACCATTACTTACGCCCACTACCACCACCACTACTACTGCTAACTACTACTACCACTACCACCACTACTACTAACTACTACTACTACTACCACTACCACCACCACCACTACTACTACTACTAACTACTACCACTACCTGGCAAATCAGGAAATATGTCGATTGTTTATGTAACAAGTATTCCGAGGAAGTCAGGAGACGAGCAGGTCACAGCTGCTCAACTACAGGAGATGAGCAGGTCACAGCTGCTCAACTACAGGAGACGAGCAGGTCACAGCTGCTCAACTACAGGAGATGAGCAGGTCACAGCTGCTCAACTACAGGAGACGAGCAGGTCACAGCTGCTCAACTACAGGAGACGAGCAGGTCACAGCTGCTCAACTACAGGAGACGAGCAGGTCACAGCTGCTCAACTACAGGAGACGAGCAGGTCACAGCTGCTCAACTACAAGAGACGAGCAGGTCACAGCTGCTCAACTACAAGAGACGAGCAGGTCACAGCTGCTCAACTACAAGAGACGAGCAGGTCACAGCTGCTCAACTGCAGGAGACGAGCAGGTCACAGCTGCTCAACTGCAGGAGACAAGCAGGTCACAGCTGCTCAACTACAGGAGACAAGCAGGTCACAGCTGCTCAACTACAGGAGACAAGCAGGTCACAGCTGCTCAGGTCACAGCTGCTCAGGTCACAGCTGCTCAGGTCACAGCTGCTCAGGTCACAGCTGCTCAACTACAGGAGACAAGCAGGTCACAGCTGCTCAATTACAGGAGACAAGCAGGTCACAGCTGCTCAGGTCACAGCTGCTCAATTACAGTATTACATAAATCTGCATACTGCCGCTTCGTAGCATAAATGGAGATTGTTCTCGTGTGTTCTCTCCCTGTTCTACCTCTGTTCTCTCCCTGTTCTACCTCTGTTCTCTCCCTGTTCTACCTCTGTTCTCTCCCTGTTCTACCTCTGTTCTCTCCCTGTTCTACCTCTGTTCTCTCCCTGTTCTACCTCTGTTCTCTCCCTGTTCAAACCTCTGTTCTCTCCCTGTTCAAACCTCTGTTCTCTCCCTGTTCTACCTCTGTTCTCTCCCTGTTCTACCTCTGTTCTCTCCCTGTTCTACCTCTGTTCTCTCCCTGTTCTACCTCTGTTCTCTCCCTGTTCTACCTCTGTTCTCTCCCTGTTCTACCTCTGTTCTCTCCCTGCTCTACCTCTGTTCTCTCCCTGCTCTACCTCTGTTCTCTCCCTGTTCTACCTCTGTTCTCTCCCTGTTCTACATCTGTTCTCTCCCCGTTCTACATCTGTTCTCTCCTTGTTCAAAACCTCTGTTCTCTCCCTGTTTCTACCTCTGTTCCCTCCCTGTTCTACCTCTGTTCTCTCCCTGTTCTACATCTGTTCTCTCCCTGTTTCTAAACCCCTGTTCTCTCCCTGTTCTACCTCTGTTCTCTCCCTGTTCTACCTCTGTTCTCTCCCTGTTCTACCTCTGTTCTCTCCCTGTTCTACCTCTGTTCTCTCCCTGCTCTACATCTGTTCTCCCTGTTATACCTCTGTCTCTCCTGTTCTACCCCTGTTTCTCCCTGCTCTACCTCTGTCTCTCCCTGTTCTACCTCTGTTCTCTCCCTGTTCTACCTCTGTTCTCCTCTCTGTTCTACCTCTGTTCTCTCCCTGTTCTACCTCTGTTCTCTCCCTGCTCTACATCTGTTCTCTCCCTGTTCTACCTCTGTTCTCTCCTGTTCTACATCTGTTCTTTCCCTGTTCTACCTCTGTTCTCTCCCTGTTCTACATCTGTTCTCTCCCTGTTCTAACTCTGTTCTCTCCCTGTTCAAACCTCTGTTCTCTCCCTGTTCTACCTCTGTTCTCTCCCTGTTCTACCTCTGTTCTCTCCCTGTTCTACATCTGTTCTCTCCCTGTTCTACCTCTGTTCTCTCCCTGTTCAAACCTCTGTTCTCTCCCTGTTCTACCTCTGTTCTCTCCCTGTTCTACCTCTGTTCTCTCCCTGTTCTACATCTGTTCTCTCCCTGTTCAAAAACCCCTGTTCTCTCCCTGTTCTACCTCTGTTCTCTCCCTGTTCTACCTCTGTTCTCTCCCTGTTCTACCTCTGTTCTCTCCCTGTTCTACCTCTGTTCTCTCCCTGCTCTACATCTGTTCCCTCCCGTTCTACCTCTGTTCTCTCCCCGTTCTACATCTGTTTCTTCCCTGTTCTACCTCTGTTCTCTCCCTGCTCTACCTCTGTTCTCTCCCTGCTCTACCTCTGTTCTCTCCCTGTTCTACTCTGTTCTCTCCCTGTTCTACCTCTGTTCTCTCCCCGTTCTACCTCTGTTCTCTCCCTGCTCTACATCTGTTCTCTCCCTGTTTCTACCTCTGTTCTCTCCCTGTTCTACATCTGTTCTCTCCCTGTTCTACCTCTGTTCTCTCCCTGTTCTACATCTGTTCTCTCCCTGTTCTACCTCTGTTCTCTCCCTGTTCTACCTCTGTTCTCTCCCTGTTCTACCTCTGTTTCTCTCCCCTGTTCTACCTCTGTTCTCTCCCTGTTCTACCTCTGTTCTCTCTCTGCTCTCCCTCTCTTCTCTCCCTGGTCTACCTCTGTTCTTTCTCTGCTCTCCCTCTGTTCTCTCCCTGTTCTACCTCTGTTCTCTCCCTGTTCTACCTCTGTTCTCTCCCTGTTCTACCTCTGTTCTCTCTCTGCTCTCCCTCTGTTGTCTCCCTGTTCTACCTCTGTTCTCTCCCTATTCTACATCTGTTCTCTCTCTGCTCTCCCTCTGTTGTCCCCCTGTTCTACCTCTGTTCTCTCTCTGCTCTCCCTCTGTTGTCTCCCTGTTCTACCTCTGTTCTCTCCCTGTTCTACCTCTGTTCTCTCTCTGCTCTCCCTCTGTTCTCTCCCTGTTCTACCTCTGTTCTCTTCCTGTTCTACCTATGTTCTCTCTCTGTTCTCCCTCTGTTCTCTCCCTGTTCTACCTCTGTTCTCTCTCTGCTCTCCCTCTGTTGTCTCCCTGTTCTACCTCTGTTCTCTCCCTGTTCTACCTCTGTTCTCTCTCTGCTCTCCCTCTGTTGTCTCCCTGTTCTACATCTGTTCTCTCCCTGTTCTACCTCTGTTCTCTCTCTGATCTCCCTCTATTCTCTCCCTGTTCTACCTCTGTTCTCTCCCTGTTCTACCTCTGTTCTCTCCCTGTTCTACCTCTGTTCTCTCTCTGCTCTCCCTCTGTTCTCTCCCTGTTCTACCTCTGTTCTCTCTCTGCTCTCCCTCTCCCCTCAGCTGTTCTCTCCCAACTTCTCTCAGCTGTTCTCTCACCACTTCTCCCAGCTGTTCTCTCCCAACTTCTCTCAGCTGTTCTTTCACCACTTCTCTCAGCTGTTCTCTTCCAACTTCTCTCAGCTGTTCTCTCACCACTTCTCCCAGTTGTTCTCTCACCACTTCTCTCAGCTGTTCTCTCACCACCTCTCTCAGCTGTTCTCTCACCATTTCTCTCAGCTGTTCTCTCCCAACTTCTCTCAGCTGTTCTCTCACCACTTCTCCCAGTTGTTCTCTCACCACTTCTCTCAGCTGTTCTCTCACCACTTCTCTCAGCTGTTCTCTCACCACTTCTCTCAGCTGTTCTCTCACCACTTCTCTCAGCTGTTCTCTCACCACTTCTCTCAGCTGTTCTCTCACCACTTCTCCCAGCTGTTCTCTCACCACTTCTCTCAGCTGTTCTCTCACCACTTCTCTCAGCTGTTCTCTCACCACTTCTCTCAGCTGTTCTCTCACCACTTCTCTCAGCTACCTCTCACCACTTCTCTCAGCTGTTCTCTCACCACTTCTCTCAGCTGTTCTCTCACCACTTCTCTCAGCTGTTCTCTCACCACTTCTCTCAGCTGTTCTCTCACCACTTCTCTCAGCTGTTCTCTCACCACTTCTCTCAGCTGTTCTCTCATTTCTCCGAGCTGTTCTCTCACCACTTCTCTCAGCTGTTCTCTCACCACTTCTCTCAGCTGTTCTCTCATTTCTCCCAGTTGTTCTCTCACCACTTCTCTCAGCTGTTCTCTCCCAACTTCTCTCAGCAGTTCTCTCACAACTTCTCTCAGCTGTTCTCTCACTTCTCTCAGCTGTTCTCTCACCAATTCTCTCAGCTGTTCTCTCACCAATTCTCTCGTCTGTTCTCTCACCACTTCTCTCAGCTGTTTTCTCACAACTTCTCTCAGCTGTTCTCTTACCACTTCTCCCAGCTGTTCTCTCACCACTTCTCTCAGCTGTTCTCTCACCGCTTCTCTCACCACTACTCTCAGCTGTTCTCTCACCACTTCTCTCAGCTGTTGTCTCACCACTTCTCTCAGCTGTTCTCTCACCACTTCTCCCAGCTGTTGTCTCACCACTTCTCTCAGCTGTTCTCTCACCACTTCTCTCAGCTGTTCTCTCATTTCTCCCAGCTGTTCTCTCACCACTTCTCTCAGCTGTTCTCTCACCACTTCTCTCAGCTGTTCTCTCATTTCTCCCAGCTGTTCTCTCACCACTTCTCTTCAGCTGTTCTCTCATTTCTCCCAGGTGTTCTCTCACCACTTCTCTCAGCTGTTCTCTCACCACTTCTCTCAGCTGTTCTCTCATTTCTCCCAGCTGTTCTCTCACCACTTCTCTCAGCTGTTCTCTCATTTCTTCCAGCTGTTCTCTCACCACTTCTCTCAGCTGTTCTCTCATTTCTTCCAGCTGTTCTTTC